ACCGGAGGCGTCCGCTCAGGGGTTAACAAATGGTTAAAACCTGTTAAAAAGGGGGGCACACCAGGATAGATAGTTTGTTTATTGTGGGAGCAGTTACCAGAAAGCCTTTTCTGGCGCTGTGGTCCTCTGTGACCTGGGAAGGGAGAGGTGACACTGCCCTGGGTGTGGACGCTTTCAGACTTGCAGCTGCAGCCCCCTGCGCTGGAAGAGCCCTCTGTGCCTGGTCGCTGAACTGCACCGAATGATGCTGGGGGTCAGCTACAACTCTGGCAGAGCAGTGCATGGGAGGGGAAAGGAGTCGCTGCAAAATAAATGTCAATGAGTTTAGGACAAGCAAAACCCAAAAATTACCTTAATCCAGAATCCTAGGAGTTGGTGTGCAGAACTAAATGGAGATACCTTTATACAACTGTTTAAGTCCTCTATATATCAACAGCTTGTATACAGTGTATGGTTTTACTAACACAGCAAGGAGAATGGTTAGATTTGATAAACTTCTTAAACTGTGTTAAACTCGAGATGTGTTGTGGGTTTACAAGCCATCCTTTCCATGTGTTACTTTCGTATTATTCAGAGTAAGTTTTATAGTGTGTTTGTAGCTGTAGATCATGTCTCTGATAACATTACTGATTATCATTTGCTTGGGGTTTGTTTTGTATTATTTGCTTGGTTTTTTTCTCAGATGTTTGCAACTTTACTGTAGAGGGAATATTTACTGTTTTCTATAAGTGGATTTTACAGCCTAGTGCTCAGAAAATGTGAAACATAGAGCTGGGAGGAAAATAAACGTGCTGAAACATGCTGGGGGCTGTGACCTTTACCATCATGTGCTGTGTGTGGTCTCAGAATCCTGGAGTCACCTGCCTGAGAAACTTATTCTTTCAGGAATGTGATGAGTTGTGCAAGTGACAAACATTTAACATTAGAAAAACTCTGCACAGTATTTCTAGCTACTAGCTTTAAACAAATCACCCAATATTTAAAGTAGAACTTCTCATTCAAGTTAAAGATGGAGTTGGAAAGGGGACACGTTGCTTGACCATCTTGCTTATTTATAATGAAAGCAAATAACCTTGTGAACATTGTTCAACAAATGATTAATTGTGTTGTCCTCTCCAATCTGGTGGTGTACAGCGTTTTTACCACTGTCTGTGCACTGATAATGTATTGACGAGAGATGAGCCCCAGGGAGAAAGGAATTCGATGATCAAGTGGGACAAGGTCATTTTGACACTCCTTTAAGCTACTTTGAAAATCAAAACTATCTCATAACTTTGTACAGTAACAAACTTGGGATCTTTTTCTGGCTGCTTATTTTACAGAATTATGATGTAATGCTGAGAGGATTTGAGCATCCATTTTTTTTATCTGAAGAGACCTGGTGAACTGTCAAAAGTCAAATGGAATTAACTTTGGTCTCCTCCTGATTTCTCCTCATGCCTCTTACTAAATGTAATTAACAGTGAATCACATAGTAATCAATATTATGGAGCATGTGCCAAACTTTTAATCGTCTCTTTAATTGAAAAACAAAGCTATTGGACCCTTATTAATTGCCATTTCTTATGTAAGTCATGAATGCACTTAGGCATTTCAAAGTTGCTGCTTCTCCAGGGGAGCATGTCTTGGGGTTTTGGAAGTGTTGGGGTTTTTTTGGGGGGTGGTTGTTTTGGTTTTTTGTTGTTGTTTGGTTTGGGGTTTTTGTGGGAGTTTTTGGGGTGTGGGGTTTTTTTGGTTTTTTGAGGGTGTTTTGGGAGGTTTTTTGGTTTGGTTGGTTTTGGTTTTGGTTTGGTTTGGCTTGGCTTGGCTTGGGGGTTTTTTGTTGGTTTTTTTTTTTTTTTTTCTCAGAAAAGCAAGGCTTTTTGACTCTTAAAAAAAATAACAAAACAGGAGATCAGATAGTATCTTAGTGCACTGTTTCTTGCAACTGTAGTCCTAGGAAGACAGGGTATTTATGTGAACAGTTGAGACACTGAAATAAGTTGAATGTGGACTACAATAACTTTCTGAATCTTCCCTGCTGCTCAGTAGCACTTACAGCAGTGATAGGTAGGGGGCTACTATCTGTTTTGTGGGTACACTATAGCAGGCACTGTGAAAACACAATTCTTCTCCCATTGAATATACACTCGGTACATGGACTGTGCATTGCAAAGAGGTTTGCACAACTTTTGTGGCTTGTCTTACCTACATGGAGCAGTTTGCGTCTTCTTTAGGAACCCGGCAGCAGGTTGCCTTTGTCTGTCTCTCAAAGCCTTGCTTTTCTGGGCTCTGTGCATGAGTGTAGTTATGAATCGGACCTGGAGTTCAGAACAGGGTGTAGTCTGTGGAAAGGCTGGGGGTGGTGAGGAAGAGTTGAAAGGGCTGAAGGTCCATTCCTCTTCTAAGTCTTTCTCTGTTCATGCACACCTGCAAGTACCTACCTAAGTCCTCATACTTGTTACCAGCTTACACAGGGTGTGACGTGTGTGGCTGCCCAACTATTTCCTCCTCTGCCCCCACAGCTGTCCTTTCTGATGCTGGCCATAGGTACTGGTGCACACTGTGTAGAAGCTTTACATTTAGGACTTTGTCTATCATGCTTCAAAAAGGGAAGGAACACAATTTCTTAGTCCCGTTTTTCAACTCTACTAGACTTTTAGCTCAGCAACTGGGGGCTTTTTCGTTTGGTTTGGGGTTTTTGTTGGTTTGTTGTTTGGTTTTTTTTTTAACCTTGAAAGCCTGCTACAAAGGGCTTGTAGAGTGCACAACTTGGCTTGGAATAGTGAGACTCAGTGGGTGATATCCATATTCCTGCACACACCAACACTGCAGTCACATCCCACATGATATTAAAGTGAAGACAACTGTGTAAGAAGTCACTCCATAATCTACAAAGGTTATTTTTATTTGACAATAGGGGAGACTCAAAAAAAGCATGGTGAGACAAATCTCTTCCCCTCCCCTATTGCTGCGTTGTCTGAAGAGTTAAGGGATTGAGCTCTGGGATGCCTCAAGACATCAAAGTGATGTCACAGCAGGTAGTTTATGACTGAAATGAATAAAGCAGTTGCAAGGCTGTTAAGTATTTTCTTGTTTTGGAAATGAGATGAATATCTTATTCCCTGTTCTCTTTCAGGTGAGATAATTATTTACTACTGTAACTGAATTCCAAGGAGATAAATCTTAAATCTGACTGAGGAGGCTGTAGCAAAATGCCATTCCTTCAGTGTAGTGTCTTCTGGTAGAATATGATCAGTGTTGAACCCTTATGACTCACTGGAACCGAACTATATTTTAAAGAAACAACTGTCAGACCTGCTCCTATAACTGTATGCTTCTCCCTGACCTGTGAGTTACTGATGGAATGACCTAAAGGCAGTGCTTGGTGGCAGCAAAGTAAGGACTCATTTGTTCCTAGGACTATGGATGTGCTTGCATTGCATCAGTTGGGGTGGCTGAGCTTTTGCCTGAGTAAAGAAACACTGTGTATAGAACAGGCACTGCTTTGTGAGAGAGAAGCAGCAAAGTGTTGGGGGCTACGTCTGTGGAAGGGGAAGAGGATCTGTCTAGAAATTTAGTATATAAGGAGAACTGGAAGGTAATCTAGCAGCTCTGTCTTTTCTGTGACACAGCATAGCAGCCAGCACACCACTCCTTTGGAGGCTGCTGCCCCAAACACACCTCTGAATGCTGCTACCCACCTTTACCAAAGGGGCATCTGCATCTGAGGTGCTTCTCACAACTGCATCCAATGGTGTTAAAGTGAAATATTGTTACAATGTTTTTTGGCACCTTTTTGTACATATTGAACACATTTGCTATTCCAAAACTATTTGTATTTTGCTGGTGATAATAACTTTTTAAGTGTTTGGGAAAAGTTAATACACTCACAATGTGGTCACAGGAACAGCTCTTACTGCATAAAACCTCAGCAAGCAACATTTTATTTTAAAAACATTTAAGCAAACCTCAGGGAGTAGAGGCTTAATTATGTTAAAGGACAACACTGATAAATGCCTGTAGTTTTTCCACAGAAACACTGGGGATGGAAGTGAGGTGATTCCTAACCACTGGGGCAATCAGATTCTGCTACAGCCTCTCAGGAATAAGATTTTTTTATGTCCCACACAAACTACTTTAAACTTAATAAGTTTAGCCACTTTAATAGTCACTTTAATGAGGAAGAAAAGGTGCTGTGTTGGGTGGGATGACAGGAAGACAGAGGCAGCAACTGGGAGCTTGTCCAGTTATAGTCTCCTCAAAGAATTTGGTTTCTTAAGTGATGCTTCCCTTATAAAAATATTTAGAACTAGTTTATGACTAGACATTTTATGCCTTTTTTTTGGCACAAAAAAAAAAGAGATCTTGCAGGTAATTTCACTTCAGTGACATAAGTACAGCCTTGTATCTGTTACTGGGGTGTTCTGTAGCACACAAATGTCAATTTTGTCTGTGTCATTTCATCTGCCATCTAAAATACTGACTGAAGAGTGGAAGGCAGAAGTTGTGGAGGATAGAAACAAACCTAAAAAAATTGCCTCTCCTTCCTCTCAACAGTAAAAGCTGAATGATCTGCAAAGAGCACCAACTTTTGAATGCCACAATTGTAGTTGTGTCTTGCTGCACTTTCCTTCTTTAAAAAACATAAAAAATCCCCAAAACCCCTCTGTGTTGCTGACTCCTCAGCTATTCTTACTATGTCAATGTGATCTGACTTCGTCACCAACTGATATGCCTGCAAATAATTATGTGTTGTACAGTATTAAATAACATTTTTAATGGGAATTGGTGGGATGTTAACGTGGAAAACTGTAATAAAAAACTTGTTTTGTGAAGAATCCTATCATATGGAAGCTTTTGAGATCCTGTAAATAGTTATACTTTCCATCTTCTCTGTGATGCTTTCTAATTCTCCTGGTTGAGTGGTAACGAGTGGTTATTGCAGATACAGTAGATTTAAGGGTTGAGGCAGAGGTGCTACTTCCGTTATCACAGGTCTGAGAGTGCTTCAGAGCTTTCCTCTGGAAACAAACTACAAAATTAAAACATTTTAAAAACTAGAGAATGACACCACAATCAGGCTTTTAAGGCTAGGGATGTGGCAGCAGTAAAGATAAGATGGATTTTGAAGTCCTGTTCCCCACATCTGCCTGAAGCTTTTCCTGTGATGTACAGATATCTGCCTGCAGTGATGTCTTTGCTACCCAACAAATGTCATGGGTGTCTCAAACACCCAATGTGGTGGAGGTACCTGCAGTAGCTGTGCATCCACACAGAAAGTGAAAAATTGGCTGAAGATTTCTCTTTGTTACTCATGTGTGCAGTAGCACCTGCAATTGCCTTTTAGCTCCATGGTCCCCCTGGATGAGTCTACAGGTAGTATTGAGAAAAGCAAGACCTTGCCTCCTAAAATCGTTGAGGTGATGTATGAGTAGAAAATGTGCCCAGGGGCTGGAGTATTTTAAGAAATAGGTCATGAAAATAATGCAAAGTGATCTCTGCATGCTGCTCTGTCAAGCTTGCTGGTTGTGGTTAACCAAGAAGGGAAAATTGAAACCCACTCTTATAGCTTTAGACGAGGCAGTTGGTATAATCACATTGCCCAGGTGTTCTGTGGCTGTGGGCTCTTCATCCACAAGTTGATGTAGTTGTTTGTGGACTGCCAAGGGAATAAACAGGCCTATTGCCATAACTGTGATAGTAAGGGTATTGCTTTGCCTTCAAGATACAGCACTCTGTACTCGGTCAATATGAGTCCAATCAGTACCACAGTGTGTTGCAAGAGGATATGATACTCCTGAGCATTGTATCCAAACCTTAGGTGTATTTGTGAGACCAGATCTGCTAATTAATAGAAACGTCACCCTCAGGAATCTCATCAGTGTTTGAGGTGGAGCTGGCACATCATGTTCATGACAGAGTAGCTATACTAAAGGTGCTCCCCATGCCAATTTTTGTACGAATTGGGGAAAAGAAATTCATAAAATTAAGCCTTTAATTTTGAAGGGGCGATCTGTGTCATGAAGGCTTTCCCTGCTGTGAGAGTTTCTTCAAGCCCCTGCACTTCTGCCAGTGGGAGGGACAGCTCATGCTGGGGCAGAGGTATGAGCATCGTAGGTGTTGCTGACTGGACTACTCCTCGAGACCTAGGAAAAGATGCTTTCTCTTTTCCTTTTCCTCAGTGAACACCTTTATTTGGGATGCCCATCTTCTGACCAGCTGCTGATGTTCAAGTTTGTAAGAATGAATTTGCCACGAGACTCAAAAGCTTGGGCAGGAGAGAGAGGCACAGTGGACAGCGTGATTGTGTAAATATCACTAGAAGTATCACTAAAATACTAAAAAGCATTTCTAAGAGTAATAATGAACTCTGTTTAAAGATTAATTACTGCCTTTTTTTTTAAGTTTAAATATCCTTAAGTAGATTATTCCCATCTATACTGTCTTACAAAATCTGAGTGAGAAAAGTGAAAAGTGCTTGAAAGAAAAAAATAATTTAAAAATTAAAGAGAATTGACTGTCTTTAGCTTTAAAGGAGCATATAAGCTGCCTCTCAGTGCCTAAGCCTAAACCATCACACCTGTGGTTTATATAACTCTGCTTGGTGTTCCAACCCTTTTCTAGCCCTGTTGACTTGCAGAAATGTCAGTGATGGCAGCCAGAGGCCTTTCCTCTGCTCCCCAGAAGACCAGGTGGTCTTGTCTCCTTGTCCTCTTCACTGGAGCCTCTTCAAGGGGATAGGTCTGTTACCTAAGGGAAGGGAAATATTCATCATTGTCAGTGGCTTATCTTTAAATTATTCTGTGTTGGGGAGGAGGTGTGAAATGTAGTATCTTTAAATTCAAAGGATTGTGGTTTCCAGTTTGTCTCATGTTTTCTCTTGCCTTTGTGCACAAATCCCCTTTGTTTTCCTTCCCTTGATCTTTCTTGAGGCTCCTCAGATCTGTCATATCTTTAGGAGACTGGAGCATGAGCTGCATGTTTTAACCTCTGATGACTATAACATTAAACATTAAAAAACCCCCGAATTTCTTGTGGCAAGCAGACGGTCTGGTTTCTGCTGCAGATCTTGGAAATAGGGAGTGGATCTGCCTTTTTGACATCCAGGTGCAGTGTTACTGCATCATGCTCTGGCTGCAATTTTTAATTTGAGGAAATACAGCTCATTTGAAACTAATTTTGTGTTTCAATCCTGAAGATGCCAAGGGTCTTTTAGCATTATAGTAACCATTTGTCGGGTGTAGATTTACTGGTTGTGATTCAATAATGAGCCAAACTCCCGGTGTCTTGCCCTACCACTGAAGACTAGTGGTGTAGGCTGACAGCACAATGAGGGGCTTTGTAGGCATCCCACCTTGGTGTCCTGTCAAGCCTGGTACTTCAGAAACTTCTTCAAATACCATGATGTCTCTTTTAAATTCAAATGATTCATTTTGACAGAGGGCGTAGAAGAACATTTTTTACTTCTCAATTTCCCAACATTAGTCCCATCAAACCCACATTGGCCAGTGCAGCTCTAATCCTCATCTCAGGAAAAGAAAATTACTTCTATCAAGTTTCCTCCTTTTGTTAAGGGAGAAAACTAAATTATTAAAGGAATGAGGAATTGATACAGACTTGCAAGAATAGCCACTTACAGTTTCAAAACCTTTTCCAGTTCTTTCTTTGCTTTCATGCTCTTGTCTAAGGATGGTGCAGGTATATCTGATCTGATCTGGTGAAGTGTGTTTAGCCCTCAAAGGCAGAAACCTCGCAGCTCATCACTGCTTGGGTGGCTGTGTGGTGAGTTGCCCCATTCTTGCACTTTCTACATCCTAAACTTTTTACTTAGGTTCCTCTTAACTGGTGACTGCTTGACATCCTTTTGTTAACATGCCTTTCCTAAATGTTAGCACGAGTTAAAGCTGAGGCCTTGGGGATACACCAATATCTCCAGGGAAATCAGCCCTCCTTAATATTATCTTCTAGATTGATCATACCAAGACTCTTTCCAATGTGTGGTGCCAGGTGTTTTATCCTGTCTTGTTTCACAGGCTATAGAGCCTGGTTTCCTGATTATTTCCTTCCTTTCAGCGGATGATTCATATTGACAAAATGGGTGAGCTACAACATAGTGATGTTGCATTTTGATTTAATCGGCTGCTGTGGTTGTGTCAGGAACAAAATAAAACAGTATTGATTTTGGAGGCTTGATCTGTTAACATCTTTCCAGTTATGGCAGCTGAAAAAATAATGCATTGCTGGGGAAAAAAATCTACTTTATCCAGACTGGTTTTGTTTCACTGATTTGTTTCAAGTCAATGTGGTAATTTTCCATAGTATTTGATTGTCATGTATCTGTAACACCTTAAAATCCTTGAGTTTCTCACATCTGATGTGTGCGTAAAGGGGAGCTACCAGAACAGAAATGTCCATATTCGTAGTGCTGCTTCTGAACAACTCTTTCTGTGTGATAGGAGAACTTCGTGCTGTTTGACTGACCCCTCCTTAGTCTCCAGACCATGTTCAACACTGCTTTTTTAGGGTTTGGACTTGCTCCAACTACGATCTGCTCTTTGTAACTATCTTTTCTTCCATTTATTCCCTGCTAGAATTAGAGCTCTGACCTGTGTGCATATAACCCAGGCTGTTTTGTCAGCATGCTTGCAGGTTGCTTCAATTTAAATTTTGTTTACTTGCATGGAGAAAACAGCTTCAAGCCTGAAAATCTGAAATAAATGCTGAGGGAATGAAGGAGTGAGCCAGGTCTCAGCTGCAGAAAGACATTCCTCCTTGCTGCTGTACCACAGCCCTCCAGGTTTGTCCTCATCCCATGTCTTTCCTTTCATGTGTGGTGCTGGATGTTTCTAGAGTGGTGTTTGCTCCTTCCCTCACTTCTTACCCTTAAGCAAACAGCAAAATAAAACACATGGTCCAAAGAATGTTTATGCTATGAGTTCCCTCAAGCTGCAAGCGAATGAGTGACATGTGGACATGTATGCCTCAGAAATCAATGAGATGCAAAAGCTGAAAGGCAGGGAAATTAATGTATGATGGAAAGGATTTAACAGTCTTGCTGGTACTGTGCCCCTGCCTAGAGGCAGGCTTTGCAACAACAAAGTGATTGCCAGAAGATATTTGTTTAGTCAGGTCTTAAAGATCTCAGTGATGGATGCTGTCTCACCTCTCTGGACACTATCAAATGCTCCATTATCCTTATAATGAAAAACATGCTCCGAGATCCCACCCACAACATCTAATGCCAATCTTTTCCTTGAGAATGAGAGTTTGTTACTTTTTGGTTTGCAGGTTAGGGAACAACTGACTGACTTCATACATCAGTCTTTCAGCATCTTATAGCAATGTTGGCATATGTCTTGTAGTCTCCTGAAAATCTCCATGTCTTTCCACCTCTCTTGATGTTTTCTGTTTGTGCTCTTGGCTCTTCTCTGGACACTTGGTAGCTGGTCCACATCTTTCTTGAAATCCAGTCCTCAGAACTTTAGTTCACTGGGTTGCTAAGGGAGGTTTTGGAGTCTCCCTCCTTGGAGATATTCAAAAGCCATATGGACATGGTCCTGAGCAGCCAGGTCTAGGTAGCCTGGCTTGAGAGTGGTTGGACCAGAATGACCTCCAGAAGTACCTGCCAACCTCAGCCACCCCATGAGGAGGTGATCCGAGGCTTTCCTAAGTGTCACAATTTTACCAAGGTTCTTAGAGGGCTGAACATGAGCCAGCAGTGTGGCCAGGTGGCCAAAAAGACCAAGAGCATCCTGGTCTATATCAAAAATAGCGTAGCCAGCAGGATCAGAGCAGTGGTTCTTCCCCTGTACTCGGCACTGGTGAGTCCGCAACTCAAGTTCTGTGTCCAGTTCTGGGCTCCTCACTACAAGAAAGACATTGAGATGCTGGAGTGACTCCAGAGAAGGGCAACAGAGCTGATAAAGAGTCTGGAGCACAAATCCTGTGAGGAGAGGCTGAGGGAGCTTCGGTTGTTCAGCCTGGAGAAGAGGAGGCTCAGGGGGAACCTTATCACTCTCTACAACTCCATGAAAGGAAATTGTAGCAAGGGAGTGGTCACTCTCCTCTCAAGTAACAAGCGACAAGAGGAAATGGCCTCAAGTTGTGCCAGGGGAGGTTTAGATTGGATGTTAGGGAAAAAATTCTTCATGGAAAGGGTGGTCAAGCATTGGAACAGGCTATCCGGGGAAGTGGTTGAGTCACCCTCCCTGGAGTTATTTAAAAGGTATGTGGATATGGCACTTAGGGACATGGTTTCATAGAATCACAGAATCATTAAGGTTGGAAAAGACCTTTAAAATCATCAAGTCCAGCTGTCAACCCAACACCACCACCATGTTCACCAATAAACCATGTCCTCAAGTGCCATATCAACTTCCAGGGATGGGATTCCCAGGCTTAGTTGTGGACTTGGCAGTACCAGGTTAATA